ATCCAAATATTGGGTTCTGGTTCTGAATCATAATCGAAAAATTTCGATTTGATTACTATAGTGTCCAGTTCAGTTTGAAATAGACCTTTAGGAACAATAATAGATGTTATATTTTATATTTTATTTTTTGATTTATGATTCATGGGGGGTTTCAGTATTTTTACAATTTGTATATCCAATTCGTATTCAACAAATAAGTGGACCAAGAACTTGAGACTATCGAGCTTAGCTTAAGAGGAAGATAGACGGACAGTTGATTGGTTTTCAAAATGGATTGCAGACATCGGAGATGGGACTGCAGGAGTTGTAAACAACGATTCATCTGAGATTGATATTCCGGCACAGTTTTTGTTGAAGTGTGAAAACGATCTCATAGCAAATATAGTTGAAAGCATGCACATTCCCAAGCTCGAGATATGTCATGCTTGATGAGTCGTAGCTAGAAGACTAAGCGATCCTCTCGCTGAATTTAGATGTTGTTGATCAAATTAATCAGTACATGTGTGACATGAATACTGTAGAAGGACGAACATATTTAAGTTGTGACTTTTTGTGTAAGGCATAATCAGACATTGAAAATCTATCAGAAGTACACACTCTTGAATCCGTAAATAGTTTGAAATTGTTTGGTCTTCATAATCATTCATTGACATTAAAGGTCGGTGCACCTATTATGTTATTGCGGAATATAGACCACTCTTTTGGTCTTTGTAACGGTACTCGGCCCATCATCACAAGATTGGCAGATCATATTGTCGAAGCAAGAATAGTTAATGAGATACATTAAGGAACCAAAATTCTTATGAATGTCTCTCAATCCTTCTTATACGAGATTGCCCTTTAAGTTCCAGCGTAAACAATTCTCGTTGATGCTTGCATATGGCATGACTATCAACAAAAGTCAAGGCCAAACACTAACTCACGTTGGGTTATTGCTAAAAAATTGGTCTTTAATCACTGTCAATTATATGTGACTTTTTTCCGAGTCACTCATCTTGATGGCTTGAAGGTGTTAGCTCTAGACGATGATGGACATGATTGTGTTGCTACTATAAATGTCTTCTACAAGAGATTTTCAATAATGTGTAAATACAACCGGTGACATTATATTTTTTTTCCAAGATGACAAAATTGCTATATATCTAGACATAATATATCTTCCATACAAATGAATTAGGATAGCAATTTATTTTTATAAATGAGTTTCTAGAGAATTGAACGAGCACATTTGCCCAATTTATAAAACCCTAAACACTGATATATAAAATCTCTGAAGTTTTAGCACCAAATGCGTAAATCTATACATTAGCTATTAATTTAGCAATTATTTACTCGAATTCAACCAAGGATAACATCAAAAAAATAATCAATCCAAATCCATATCTTCAATTACACTATATAATATTTGATGTTATAATTTATATAATTATATATCAATCCAAATATTCTTAATATATTATAACGAATCCATTTCGTGCATCGCACGATGAAAATACTAGTTATATATAAGGAGTAAAAAATTACTCATATTCCTATTATAATGCATACACGCAAGATTTGTATTCACAACGGAGGAAGTCGGTCTCAATAATCATTAAATTGTAGTGCGTTGTTTGTGCATTGACATTCTCAATTTTTTTATTCTTCACGATAAAAGGATGAAAGTATGTAAGTTAAATATTTTAATCCTTTAATTTTATTCAAAATTTTAAATTTATTAATTCAATAACTAACCCTACCTAGGGATTTTTTGTATAGGTGAATAATAATCTAATTTCTTGTATTTTGATGCTACAATTGCAATATCAAATAGTCTTAATATTTCCATTACTGTGATTTATGCATAAAGAAGTTTTTTAAAGTTGAAGTTGTTGAAATCTGACTTATGATCAAGTATATTGTAAGAAAGATTTGGTGAATGATTTTACATCTAAATATGCCTGAAGAAGAAGAATGTCACTAAAAATTGATTGAAAAATATGGTTACTAAAAATTAGAGGTTACCTAAAGTCCTAAACCAATTAAACCGGCTGAAACTAAAAAAAATAACAAAAGAAAAATATGAAGTGACAAAAAGGCCCTTACTAAAAATAGAAAAAATCATAAGAAGGACCAAAAGTGTCCAAAAAATGATAGTCTGGGATGTAAAATGGCAAACACGATAGTCTGGGACTAAATTTGGAATTGCCACCAAAGACAAGGGACCTCTGGTGGATTAACTCTATAATTTTTAGGCACAAGTGTCAAATATGCCCATCTACTACTTCGAAGTGCTCAATTCTCCTCATCAACTAAAACATAATCTAATTGGACACACTTACCTCTAAAAATTTGTCAATTAGCTTTTTTTACAAGTTACCTCAAGGTTGCCTTTATTTAAATAAAAATGGTGATGATGTGGTATTTACTTTCTAATCTCCAGCGAAAACCAAAGTCCAATATGCGAAATAATTTCCGTTCTTCATAATCAAGAGACTTCATAATTTCCGATTCCGGGTCGAGACAAGCTAAGAAATAGTTCGATTGAGAGCACAGGTTAATGCATTCAAATCGCATGACGTCGAGCGAAAATCCACGTTGTGGAAGAAGGTGTAGAGTTCGCCGGAGAGCAAGATCGCCAACAAATCACAGCAGAAACCATCTTTTTCGGTGGAGACCACAGAAGCAGTAGAACCGGCAAACAAGAAAGAAATGGTGACAAAACCAGCTTATCATCAATTCCCACAAAAACCTGTTATGCGACCGAACAGTGTCGTGGACTAAAATTGGAACACTTTTAATAATAGTGGACGTAATGTGACAAAAATAATTATGGTGGACTAAAATTCGAATGACCCCAATAATAGTAGGACCAAAAATGGAATTCACTCTAATTATAATTATAACGGATCAACAATTATTATAATAATTATAACTACATCATTACAAGTTATTACATTAACTATAACCAATTGTTATATTGTGCACCAGGACGCACAATGCATTGTGCACCTTAAAAATCCACTGTTTCGTATGTACATAATTGTATGGTAGAATACACATAAACTCCTAACATAATATACGCACATAATCTAATATAATATCCATAAACTCTTAATTTTTTTCTTAATATTAATTAATTAATTTATTGGTAAAAGAATTAATAAAGCTTAATTGGTAACAAATTCTTTTATGGAATTTGACTAATTAGTTGGCAATATTCTTTGAAAATTATGCGTAATAATGTAATTTTATAATAAAATAATGATTTATTAATTATTATGTAATTTTGTAAGAAAATAATGGTTCATTAATTATTATCTACACCAATAATAATAATTCGAATACTGATACGAGATTGCTCTTCAGGTGTACATGGCTTTTTTTTTTTTTTCGAGTTACCTATCCTGATGACCTGAATGTTTTAGCTCTAGACGAGGATGGACAAAATTCTGTTACTACTAGCAATGTCGTCTACAAAGAGGTTTTCAATAATGTGTAATTCAAACCAGTGATATTATGTTTTCTTTTTATACAAAGATGACGAAATTGCTATACATCTACATAGAAAATATATATATCTTCCGTGCAAATAATTTCTATAATTGAGTTGCTAGACAACAAGCTAATTAGCCCAATTAATATAAATCTTAAACTAGCATTGATATATCTAAAGTTTCAGCACCGAAAGTGTATATCTACACGTTAGCTATTAATTAGACAATTATTTATTCGAATGCAAGCAATAATAACATTAGAAAACATAATCGATCCAACTTAATTTTTTAATTAAATTATATAATATTCGATGGTATAACAAACTCATTTAATTTCGTGTAACGCATCGGTAAAAATACTAATAATACTATAAAATAAAACAATCTTTATTAATGTGGGTAAATATTCGCAAGGCAAAGTACAGTGAATATTAATTGCCCAAAAATTAATGTGGATAGTTTGAAGATGGAGTAAATACGGTAACTTCGAAATCATCCCGTATTTGAAATTAATTCGGTAAGATGGCTTATTGTATTGACTCAGTATTATTTGGAAAAAAATCCAAATCAAGAAACGGAATGGCCCAGACCGTTTTATTGCGCAAATTATGCCGTGAAATCGTGTTCACCGAGAATGGTGAACACAAGTCAAAACGAGTCGTTTTTAGGCAAAAAAAAAAAAATCGCGGATGTGGAGTTAACGGCGCGTTACTGATCAAATTATGAATTTTCTGTTATGAGATTATGAATTTTATGAAAATTCATAATCTCATAACAGAAAATTCATAATCGCATAACAGAAAATTCATAATCGCATAACAGAAAATTCATAATCGCATAACAGAAAATTCATAATCGCATAACAGAAAATTCATAATCTCATAACAGAAAATTCATAATCGCATAACAGAAAATTCATAATCTCATAACAGAAAATTCATAATCTTATAACAGAAAATTCATAATCTCATGGTTCCAAAGTGAATGTGTAGGCATGGTTCCAAAGTGAATGTGCAGGCATGGATTCATAATTTATGAATGTCCGTGATTTCGGACGGGAATATGTAGGCATGGTTCCAAAGTGAATGTGCATGCATGAATTCATAATTTATGAATGTCCGAAACTTCGAAATTATGAATGTAATGAAAATTCATAATCTCATAACAGAAAATTCATAATCGCATAACAGAAAATTCATAATCTCATAACTGAAAATTCATAATCTCATAACAGAAAATTCATAATCTCATGGTTCCAAAGTGAATGTGTAGGCATGATTCCAAAGTGAATGTATAGGCAGTCACGTAATTAATTAAAAAAAAAAAAAAAAAGATAACGGTGCACTAACACGGTTCCATGGCATAACGTCTGGTTTTATTGGAAAAAAAGTCGGCGCTTTTCCTTGCTTGGTATCCAAATCCCATGTCGACACTTCTTGGTATCCTAAACTCCATGCAGTCCTCCTCGTGGAAAGCACCCTCCTTTTCTCCTTCACGTAATTGCGTTACTGAGAGTCTGAGACTATGGATAGCGTGCTATTTGATTTCTCTCCCTTGTTTGTAGTCTACACAGACGGCCGCGTCAACCGGATCGCTGACTTTCCGTATGTTCCTCCCTCGCCGGAAGATTCATCCGCCGCTGTCTCCTCCAAAGACGTCGCCATCTCTCCTCATATCTCCGCCAGAATCTACCTCCCAAATCTTAAGCTCACCGCCGCAGACCAAAAACTCCCCGTCTTAGTCTGGTTCCACGGCGGTGCCTTTTGCATCGATTCCGCCTTCTCCTCCATCTACCACCGCTACCTCAACATTCTAGCCTCGGAGGCCCAAGCCGTCGCCGTCTCCGTCGAGTACCGGCTCGCGCCGGAGAACCCCATGCCGGCCGCGTATGAGGATTGTTGGGAGGCTCTACAGTGGGTCGCTTCTCACGCGCACCCGGAGAAAATCATCCCCGGCGTAAAATTAGAACCATGGTTAGTTAAGCATGGTAACTTGGATAAGATTGTCATCGGCGGCGATAGCGCCGGCGGTAATATAGCCCACAACACCCTGATTAGAGCTGGGAAAATCGGAGAAGTGAATATCTCGGGTGCGATTCTATCTTGCCCATACTTCTGGGGCTCATTCGAAGCTAACACTGAATGCTTAGAAGCAAGGCTGTGGGGTTTCGTTTACCCGACAGCTCCAGATGGAATCGACAATCCTCTGATTAATCCATTTGTGGAAAATGGTCCGAAGCTGTCTGGGTTGGGTTGCTCCAGGATGTTTGTGTGTGTGGGAGAGAAAGATGCGCTGCATGGAGTGGGAATTCGATATGTTGAGGCAGTGAAGAAAAGTGGGTGGGAAGGAGAAATTGAGGTGATTGATGTTGAAGGAGAGGATCATGTGTTTGACATCTTCGATCCTTATTCAGAGAAAGCCAAACATCTCATTGCCCGCATTGCTTCTTTCATCCAGCGTTAACGACCACTTTCCGACCACTCAAACCCTCCGTGGAAAAATGGAAAAAAATCAATTTTTGCGACCATTTTTCGGGTGGTCGGAAATGTGATCGGAAAAAAGCTGTTTTCCAGCCGTGGTTAGTTGATCGAATTGATTATATATATATTTTACTCTGATCTGCACATGCATGTTTAATGTCATGTTCAGATTTTATTATCCAAATCAAATTGTATCCTCTGATCTTTAAGAGTACATTGTTATTAAGTGTATGTTCAAACAACAATTCAAAAAGAAGAATTACAAATTAAAAAAAAAAATTATTTGTGTTATATTTATGTTTATGTATTGAGAGTAATAAAGAATACATTTGTTATAATTACTTAGAATAATGACCATTAAAATATTAGTCCCTTCATTTGTCTTCTATTTAATCAATTGTTATGTTATAGAATTGAAGGGTTGTATAGATCATTATATAAAGAGTTGAAGGCTTAATGAAATGATACACCAACATGGTTGTTATGCTCTAAACTTTGGTGTTATTCTTCTTCTCCCTTTTTCCACTCTTTACGTATACAAACACACAAGCATATATATATATATATATATATATATATATATATATATATATATATATATATATATATATATATAGAAGAGCGCTCATATGTGGTCATGTCATTAGGTGTGGTCGTGTGGTCGAATCTGTGTCGTTGAATCAATTTAATCTAATGGCAATGGTAATTCTGAGAATTTTCGCGCGTTTTGGTAAGTGGGGGTGTTATGCTTGTTTATTATTGCTTGTTTATATTGATTTTTATTTTTTCTATGAATATTTTATCCCTAACTTTCTCTAATTCTCCCTAAATACATTAACAAAGCAAATATTTCATCGTCAAATTTTAGTATATTTTTCATAATATTCATATAAATACGTATATATTTTGATTTTTATTCTTTTTATGTTTATATTCGTAATATATATTTTTTATTACTTTTTTAACAACAGGTTACTATGAATAGCGAACTACTGTATGTTCGCTACAACAATTTGGGGTTGCAAACAGTAGCACACAGATGTTGTTCGCTGTCTCAAATTGCTATTGCGAATAATAGTTCTTTGCGTGATGCCTAGCAATATATATATATATATATATATATATATATATATATATATTAATATTAGATTTTTTTATACAACTTGTAATTATATTTTTAAATATTTTATTTGATTAATTCTTTTATTATAAATTTTATGGTTCAATATTGTTATGAATTTCTAATGAAATAGTTTTTTTTTTTTTTTGTTGATGTTTAATAATAATAATATATATAACTAATTAGCATATAAGTCTCAGCATACTATGAATAAAAATAATAATGTTGAGAATGATGATGTGGGTGAAGAACTATATAATAAGAAGAATTTTATGATATATTATAAATGTTTTGTAAGAAAATTATAAATGTTAAGAATCAAAATCATTCAAAGTTTGTAAGGATGTATTCAATTTAGAATTTCAATGACTTTTGTAGACTTTTTAAAATAAAAAGTTGATAAAAGTCTATGAATGTTATATATATAGACTTTTATAGAGTCTTATAAAGTTTTAAAAAGTTTTGAACAACTCAATGAAAGTCAATCAAAATTTATTAAAATCAATAATTTTAAAAGTCTTTAAAACTCTACAAAAAGTCATGATTGAATACACCCCCTAAGTATTGGCATCAAAATTTCAACCTGTGGTCCTCCCACTCCCTTATAATAAAAAGAATATATAATTATTATATTCATATATACAAATTATAATTATTAAATAATTTAATAAATAACTACGGAGTAAAATATAATTATATAACTAAATTTACCTACCTACAGTATACTTTTTATAAAATAATAACTAAATAATTTACCTAAATTTAATAACTAATTAATTTTTAGAGTTAATACTATTTTGGTCCCTCGACTATTAGGTATTACTCGATTTAGTCCCAGAATATTAAAAGTATCCAATTTAGTCCTCTAACTTATAAAATCGATTCAATTTGATCCTCCATTACAAATGTTATCTAATAACCGTTATTTAGAGGAGTAAAAATGTCAATAACTATTATCAACCCCTTTCGAGTCGGGTCCTCCCAAACTTTACGCAATGCATTACTTAGGGTTAAATCCGTGGCTCTATTACAGAGACTACGATTGGAATTGAGATATTGAAGATCAACGCGTTTAAACTAGTGACATGGCGCATCGGACGTGGTGGAGACTTCATGACTCCATGGATGAAATCTTGCAGAAATTTTGCAGATTATCGGAGTAGAGGAAGATTGAGTTGGAACGGGATTGGAATAAGGTTAGAAAATTGGGGTTAAAAGATGACCATTTGAACATCAATATTATTCATCCTAGAAAGTTTAACTGATGCGTATTTACAGTTTTCTGCCATTTTCTTTACCCCCTTGAGCTTCTTGTTTATGATGATGATTCATATTTTTTCACATAGAATTTTATGCATGCAAATATAATATGGTCTTATGCATTCAGAACAAGGCCGGATATGCTTGCTTCTTTGCCTCGCCGAAAAACAGGGGAGATGTCGCCGACGCCATTCACTAAGCTCACTGCCGTCGTCGGATACGCCGGAGTTGCCTAAGCGTCGTCGGACTGCTTGCTGCCTTGCTCGCTCGCCGGGAACCAAAGGAGTTGCTGCTTGCTGGATATGCTTTGGCGGAGAGGGACCCAACCAGCGAGCGCGCTATGAGCATGCCCTTCTCGCGTGACTGCGAAGGCGACGACCAGTGCGAGTATTACCTCCGCGTCAAGTGCATCACTGACTACGAACTAGCCAGGGAAGACCTAAGAAAGGTGGTTGAGAACATTGATTGACTTTTTTGCCCCTCTAATTAACGGTTATTGAATGACATTTGTAACGGATGACCAAATTGAGTCAATTTTACAAGTTAGAGGACTAAATTATGTACTTTTAATATTCTGGGACTAAATCGAGTATTACCTAATAGTCGAGGGACCAAAATGGGTATTAACTCTAATTTTTATTCTTTTTAAAATAATTAAATAACTAAATTTACCTACCCTATGCTATACTTTTTATAAAATAACTAAATAATTTACCTAAATTATAATTATTAAATAATTAAATAAATAACTAATAAATATAATTAGTTTCAAAAAACTAAATATAATTAAATAAGTAAATTTGCCAAGCACCTCGTGCTAAGATGAGATGTAGTAACTCTCTTATATGGGAGGTCATGAGATTGAGTCTCAGTGGAGGTAGGAAAAAACTAAATTTACCTACCCTGGTACGTATACTATATTACATTCCAAAGGCAGACTAAAAAAATAAAGAGAATATGTGAATTATTTCCTTAAAAAAAATAAATAAATATTTTTTAAAGTTTTTTATTAACTAATAAAATAAAATATAGAGTGAGGGAATCACAGGGAGACTAGGATATGAAGTCATAATCTAACTCAAATATATAGAGTCCTAATGCTTCCCCTCAAGCACAGGGTAACGCACAAACTAGTAACTTGTAGCTTGCCTCTAAGAAAAGAAAATCTAGGACCAGGTAAAGCTTTTGTAAATATATCAACAAGTTGATCTTTCATTAAAATAAAATTAACTTGAATATCTCTAGATTCAACTCTGTCTTTGACAAAATGGTAATCAATTTCAACATGTTTGGTGTGAGCATGGAAGATCAGATTGGATTTGCACACATATAAGTAGCACCAAGATTGTCACACCATAACTTAGGAACAGGAATATCATGAATATAGATCTCAAGTAGCAAAGATAAAATCCATATCACCTCAGCAGAAACATCTGCTAGAGCTTTATACTCTGTCTCAGTATAGGATCTAGCAAAAGTTTTTTGTTTCTTACAGACCCACAAGATTGGACCCAAGAAACACAACATAACGACTAGTAGACTTACGATTTTCTGGACAACCAACCCAATTAGAATCGGAAAAAACATGAAGTTCTCTTGACACTGACTTTCTTATACGCAAACAAAAAGTAATTGCTCCTTTAACATACCTCAATACACACTTTAGTTGCTCCTAATGCGATATTGTAGGAGCATGCACATGCTGACAAAGCTGATTAACTGCAAAAGACAAGTCGGGTCGTGTGATTGTGAGATATTGCAACGCCCCAGCCAGACTCCTTTACTGCGTAGGATCATAATACAAATCTACATTGAAAGGAACAGATTTCGAGACATGAATAAGAGTAGCTAGAGGCTTGCATTCTGCCATACCAGCACATTTTAAAATATCCAGCCAGCTGGTTTTCGTCGAGTAGCTGAACTCGCCAAGCTATTTTCCCTGGCAGTCCCGCAGCCCGCCTCCACATCCAACCAGCTGGTTTTCTGCGTGAAAGGTGGCGTCCGTGTGCATGGTCGTCCACTCTTGGCTTTGACTACAATTTTCTCTCATAATTTTTAGCGCTGCACCAGGGTGTTTTTGCCTAGTAAAGACAGTCTTCATATCCATGCTTTTTTGTTGAATCCACTTAATTTTGCTTCTTATGTCCCAACTCTCGTTCTTAAACACCTTGTTGCATCTCCATTTCTAGATCCACCAGGCCGTGGTAGCAAAAAGAACATACCATTCGCCATCCTTATGTCCTCCAAGTTTACCTGTGACATTAGTTTCAAGCCAAGCATCAAAATTCATTGTAAAGAACCAATTATTAGCCCCATAAGGAATTAATACTTCCCATATCTCGCTTGCCGCTCTGCAGCTCCGGATGCAATGATTTACATCTTCCTCCTGCTCCTCACAACCTGGGCACCGCACCTCCATAGCGTAGCCTCTACGCTTCCTCTCTAAATTCGTCATCAATTTTTTGTGGCGGAGCAGCCATATGAAGGTATTTATCTTTTTCGGAACTTACAGCTTCCATATCGCATCCCAAGTACTTTTATTCTCTTTTGTATCCATCTTTATCGCTAAGTTGTATGCTGATGAAATCGAACACCGGGCATTACACTCAAGCTTCTAG